TGATAATTTGTGCTAAAATTGGTAAACAAATGTCTAATGTATTGTAGAATAATGGGCATTGTGCAAATCCTCCAATATTCCCGAGAATGTAATCTTGGTCAGATAGCATAATGTTCTGTATCTCAATTATGTCCTCTGTAAAACTGAAGTAAGAATAAGATCCAAGTAAGAGAACCATCATAATAAATTAGTTGGACTGCTCAGGGTCAGGCCTGACCACTTGTGGATGAATAGAGCGCACAAGCTGAGAAATCTCTACTGTTTATCATAAGTTCAGAAGGGTAGGTGGCTCCACATATGGACTCTGCACACTACCACAAGTATAGTCTGAACTGATGACTAATAACCTCCAGAGGCATCCAAGGCTGAATTGACTTAGTGATAATTCAGAAGCCTATAAATGATCCCAGGTCAGTTTGGAAAAATTTTAATAATGCAATTATAGCCATTTATTGTACTTTCTTATTTTATATTCCTTTTGAGTTTCAGAGTCCCCTGAGAAAAGTTTACCTTTTACACTTATTTTTCAGTCTGATAATGCCTGAAAAAGGATGAGTAATGTAAGTGTAACCCTTTGCATTGCTTCTTGTTCTAGAAGTAAGCACAGCGTACATGAGAAAGTGTTTGCCTGTTGAACAGCTACAGTTTAGTTTTCAAGAACAACATCACTAAACCTAAATTCCCAATGAATAAATACAGAATTATTTTATTAAAAAACAGAAGTAAAGTGAAAGTTTTTTTTTACAAAAAGGAAAGAAAATTAGGGAGAATCAAAAAGAAAAGGATTACACCCAATAAGAATGTTTAACCAGTTTTTCCCTTTTTAATTAAAAGATCACCTTCAAAGGACTCAATTACCTTAAATAAATGGAGGGAAATCTTTTTCTTGTTCTGAAAAGGTCTTATTAAGTAAATATTTTCAGCTTTAAGGGCCATGTAAAGTGCAATTTCTTGATCAGAATGTTGAATGGAGCAGCTATAATTGCAATCCTTTTATTTCTTCCTCGCTTAACCACTGCTGGGTTTCTTCCCCAGCCTTCTTCCCCATCTCCTCATGCACCTCTTAGGTTCTCTGATCTGAGTATAGGAAAGCAGGAAACTTCACAGTTTCTTGCACAGAAGAGTTTCCTATAGTCTTATGTCTATGTTGATCCAAGTTGTTGTATCCTGTACCCTGTGTTCATGCTGTCAGAACACAAAAGAGTTTGCAATTTCCTTGTCATGATGATAAAAAACATAGGGCCATTACAAACCAACTTCTAGGATTATAGTTCTTGGTTAGAGATGAGTACTGCCAGGGGTATAGAGAGTAGAGGCCAGTGATTCTTGATTGCTAAATAATAATGGATAACTATACAGTAGCCAAAGAAAATTAGAGAAAATCCCAATCTAGAAAAAAAAATCCATCTCTTTGACCTTTCAGTCATTGAACTGTCAGTATTCAAAGTAAGAACTTGATTATATTTCTTTTTGCCTCAATTTTCTGAAATATAAAGTGAGTTTACTATCACGATGTGTTTTAATTAGGTTTGCTACTTTTCTAATATAACATTATGACCAAAAGAAGGTTGTAGAAGAAAGTGTTGTTTTACATTTTACTCTGTTGACTTTTTGATGGGCCCACCACCAAGTTCTCAAATGATTAAACACGGAGGCTTATTCTTAGTTATAAATGCCTGACCTTAGCTTGGCTTGTTGCTGGACAATTTTTCTTAAATTATTCCATCTATCTTTTGTCTCTGGGCTTTTACCTTTCCCTTACTCTGTATATCATACTTTTCTTCTTATTCTGTGTCTGACTGGGTGGCTGTGTAGCTGGGTAGCTGTCCCCTGATGTCCTCCTCTCCTTCTTCTCTTGCCCCTTTCTTCCTTGTTTCTCCTTCTATTTATAGACTCTTCTATTTTTTAGACACCTATCCTTGCTCCTGCCTCACTATTGGCTGTCCAGATCTTTATAAGACCATCAGGTGTTTTAAACAGGCAAACAGCTTTACAGATTTAAACAAATGCAGCATAAACAAAAGCAACACCCCTTAAAACAATGCTCCCCAACAAGAAAGAGTGTGACTTATGCTTCCATATGATCATCACTGAACAAAGTCAGAACCGAAACACAAAACAGGGCAGAAACATGGAGGCAGGAACTGATGGAGAGGCAGGTGATGGGTACAGTTTATAGCTTGTACTCCATGGCTTTCTCAATCTACTTTCCTCCCCAATTGTTTATTTATTTCTGGTTAGCAAATTTAAACATTCTAACCAGGTGTAATCATTTTCTTTTTGATTCTGCCTAATTTTCTTTTCTTTTTTTTTAATTTTACTTTATTTCTGTTTTTTAACAACATAATTCTGTATTGGTTCCTTGAGAATTTCACAACATGCACCCTAATCCCACCTACCTCCTTGTCCCTCCATATCTGCCCCTATCCCCTGCAGAGTTCCCCTAACCCCCAAATTAATTCAAAACAAAACAAAACAGTAACAACAAAAACCACCTCATTCCTCTGTCTTTCCCACCTCTTCAACATCTCCTCATCTGTCCTAGTGTCGTTGGGAGCTACAGTGTGTTACACAGTACACCCTTCTGTCCAATCAGCCCCAATTGCCAATGTTCACTGCAATGAGCCATTGGTCTAGTTCAAGGCCTCTGACCTCATCACTGGACCCTCACCAAAACTCCTCTCAGATATCTTACTGTTTCCCCAAGTCATGGAATTCCTGTGGCCCTTGTTTCGCAGGATGAATCCCTTCACATGCTCCAAAATGTCATAGACAAAATAGATGGTCACACATGACCCAGCATGTAGACCCTGGTGAAATATGAACTGGTCAATCAGGGACATTGGGACTGTGATTCTCTGAGGACAGACAGATCCAGCTCTCCTATGTCCATGGCATCTGAACCGGTTCTCCCATGCCTTTGGTAAGTGGTAGAGCCATCTCTCCCTAGTGGGGAGAGCTCTCATGAGGAGTGGGTCAAGATTTTCAACTGCACTATCCAGAAAGGAGCGGCACCTGTTACCCCATGACCAGAGAAGGGTGGGGCTGGCTTGGCACAGCCTTCATATTTCAACACGTGTGTTTCCCATAGTCCACTGTGGTAACATGGACCATGGACATCAACACAGATCCCAGCTGCAGCTGGAATACAGGCCCAGACAAGGCCCTAGGCAGTTGCTTGGGCCAGATATCTCTGTACGATGAAGAACACAAATTGATGGGGGACATTAATTAGATTTACTTGGGCTATTTTGCTGTGAGGGGATCTTCTCTTTTATATAATTATGACTAACCCCGCTCCTCCTAAGGTTAAAACTCACTGTCTGTATTTCAAGCACAAGACACACAAATAAAAATAATAAAATGCATCAAGAGAAGACATTACAGTTATTTTTAGAAGAATCACAAATGAATGCAAATGTTATCTGAGCTTTTGACCCATGGGAGAGTATCTCCCGGCAAGTGAGGATTTATTAGAAAAAAAAACATGCCCAGTAGGTGAAAATATAATTGGAATTATGACTTCCCAGTTTTAGTTAAGTTAGATTTATTTTTTAACTGATACATAAATACACAAAAATTGCACATATTAACAGGGAGCCGTGTGATGGTTTGATCTTTGTGTGCATTACACAATGTTTAAATCAGGTTAAACATATGATGTATCAGATAGTCATCATCTGTTGATGCAAATATTCAAAATTCCTTCTTTCATGTCTTTGAAAGAGAGCATAAAACAACTCTCTATGGTTACCTTGTTGTGCAAAAGAATCACAGAACTTCTTGTTCTTATCTAATGATAACTATTTTTGAAGTTCTGTTTTTTCTTCTTTATCTACAACCTCTGTGGTCCATAAGCAGGGTGCTGCTATGAAGACTCTAACATGTCTCCAAAGCCAAATATTAATCTTGTTGTAAAAGCTTAGTTTCATATTGTGTCTGTAATCATTTAAAATGCTTATTCATTTACTGAAAGAGTTTCTTCGGCTCTCTGGTAGAGCCATTTTCTTCGTTTACTCATGCAATTTTATTTGTTCAATGATGCTGTAGGTAAAATAAAATGGAATGGACCCAGTAGATGTAGTGCCTACATGCATAGAATTGATCAAACATACTTTGTCTGAATATTTCTGTCTGATCACCTTTTAATCTATTTTTTTTTTATTTTCTAATTTGTTATCTGGCATCTTTAAATTTGTTCCCCCTCCCTTTCATGACAAAGTAAAACGAAAGAGGACTTATCAGAGAAATGTCTATGTTTACTAAAAGCATGGAGTCTCTATATGTGCAAGTATGTTTAAAAGTTCTGCCTAATCCCTGGAAAGGCATCAAAATGGCACATCTCTGAAGAACTAAGAGTCTGGTCCTGATTGTAGATATGAATGAAAATGAATGAAAAGAGAAGTAGAACACATGTACAACAAATGTTATTAGCGAATCAATCCCACACCAGTTATGTTTTAAGGGGTTATTTATTTGGCGGGGGTAAAACTTACATATACCATAAACCGTCAGGAAGGGAGCCTAGTCGCTGGAGCAGGAGCCGGGAGCAGCAGCAGAGACCGAGCACCGGAACCAAGAGCCGGAACCAAGAGGGCCTTATCCGGAACTGCTTCTCTTTTTAAAAGAGAAATATACCACGCCCCAGTGGGCTGATATTTCAGCAGCTATTGGCTGACAGAGCGGAAGTCGCTCCCCGCTGCACTGTGGGCTCCTGCTTCAGTGATTATTGGTTGAGGCAGCGGAAGTTACTCCCACAACAAAATGTAATGCTTTCCTTGTGCACACTGGCTTCTCTGTACATCTATGTTGAAATGAAACTGATTCTAAAGTAAAAAAAAAATCTTACAGCTGATTGTTTTGTGGATGTCGTGGATATGTGAAAAGATTTCAGTTGATGCCATGAACACTAACTGTTGGTAGCTATGCCATAATTGTCAACTGTCTGTAGCTATGTCATAGACACTAACTGTCGGTAGCTATGCTATAGACACCAACCGTCGGTAACTACGCCATGGACATCAACTGTTGGTAGCTATGCCTTAAGTCAGGTCTTGTTGCTGCTGTTAAGGAAGGACAGTTGAAATAACAAAATAGTGTGGCAGTAAGTTTGTTCATCATTTTTTCAAATTCTGATGAGAACAAATGATGAGTGATGAGATGCCTGGGTGGAAGTCAGTGTACGCCACAAATAACAGTAATTTAGACAAATCTCATCATTTTGCTAATCCTGTGTTCCCCATTGGGGTGGTTTCAATGTGAATGTTCTCCATTAGGCTTATATGCTTAAATAGTCCATCTCTATTGGGTGATGGGTGTTTAAGACCTTGAACCACTGTTCGGCTTTCCTTCTGCACTATCCTGCTTCTAAACCGCAATTCCCAAGGTAATAATAGCTAAAAAGTACTATTAATACTCAGTTTCATCTCAGCATCTGCTTCCAGAGATTGTAACCTGCAGTCCACAGCACCACTGTTAACTTTCGCTCTCGTAACAGGCCTTTCATTAAAAACCCCAGGTACTACTCACTCATCATCTGCGTCCTCACTTGAGGCATAACTCTGGCTTTTCTAAGTGGTGCTTGAAGGCTTTGATTCTCTCTTATAATTCACAAGCTAATGCTCAGCATACCAAGGATAAAAATATTTATTACCACAATCCCCATACAAAGAGTGAAATAAAAGGCATTAAGGAATTGTGAAGGATCTACATGTTCTCTGTCCATTGCTGCCTTCAGAGTATATTATGACTTAGGTTCACAATGTACACATAAATGAAATTAATAAATGAAGTAGGAAAACATCTACCAAGGCTTTGGTTTTTAACAAAAATGGACGTCTGTTCATGAGGAGGCAAGTGGTCCCAATAGGAAGCTAGGCTGGGGAAGGTTAAAGTCCTCTTTATGTCACAAAGGCTCCGAAGTTGCTTAGGGGAAAAGAAGGCCATTTAAATCTTCAGAGATGGCTGAACCAAGCTCGTGAAGATTCATGAACTCTACACCAAGTGCTGTGGAGCCTCCATGGCAACAAACTAGGCTCTACTAGGGGGAGACAGCGGTGAAGCTTGCACTATCTGAGGGGCTCCTGGCAGTAGACCCAGGATCATTCCCTGGTGCATGAGCTAGCTTTCTGGGGCCCATTCCTCTGGTGGGATGCCATGACCAACTTTAACGAAGCAGAAATGAACTTGGTCCTGCCCCAACTTAATATTCTTGCTTTTGTTGACTCCCCATGAGAATTCTTATGCATTGTGAAGAGTGGATGGGAAGGAGAAGAGGAGAAGGGGGTTGGGAAGATAGGTGGCAGGTAGAACTGTGGTTGGAATGTAAAATGAAATAATAAATAAATTAGAAAAATAAAACCAGGAAATGAAAAAGTAGTTTCTGATGCACATCACCCCAAGAAACTGATTCTCTTCTCCACCTGTTTCCTCACGTGAAAGTGGAGAGGAATCTGTGCATTTGGACCACTGCCTAGAGGTTCTCTAAATCTTGCTTGGCATTGTTTACTGAAATGCTATACTATGAACAGTCCTCTCTAGTCACTCATGTAGTGTATTTTAAGTTATTTATTATTTTAAATGGTTTTAGAATGTTCTTAAAGCAATGGGCTTATACTTTATTCTTTACTTTCTTGAAATAAATCTAAACCAGAATTATAGTTAGTAGGAACAGCTATTGAATATTTTAAGAGCTTCCTTTTGTATCATCACTGAATAGAGTGAAAATGTGTCTCTTTGTGTTACTGAATGTTGCTATTGCATACAATTCCACAGGAAGAGAGTCTAGCACCATCTTAGAAATCACCTTCAGAGTTAGAGTGATGGTAAGTTAGGTCATTATCAAGTACCAGTCTGATCCAGATGTACTATCCATACATACAAGGAATATTGCCTTCAGATACACTTAGTGACAACTCACAAAATATGCTTTTCTTCTGTCTAAAATCTAAGATAATAACAGATCTCTTTCAAGTATAATATACCTGATTCTTCACACATTCATGTACACATGTATGTGTGCGATTACACATAAATGTGTATATACATATACACATCTAACATGAGAAAAATAAGCACTGTAGTTTCATTTTCCTTCTTTTTAACTTTATTTACTTGTTGCTTTCCGTGAACTAAGGAGCCAACCTTGTATTTTCATGATGTGGGATTTTCCTCTTTATGCTCTAAATATCATTGGTTAATAAAGAAACTGGTTTGGCCTGATAGGGAAGACAGGTGGGGAAAACTAAACTGAATACTGAGAGAAAGAAGGCAGAGTCAGAGAGAAGCCATGGAGCCCCCGCCAGAGACAGACATGATGATACTTTGCTGGTAGGCCATGGCTTCATTGTGATGCACAGATTAATGGAGATGGCTTAAATTAAGATGTAAGAGTTAGCTAGAAATATGCTTAAGCTATTGGCCAAATAGTATTGCAAATAATATAGTTTCTATGTAATTATTTCTCGAGTCTAGGTTTCTGGGAAACAAGCGGCCTCCTTACAACATTTTCACTTGCATATTTTATTTTCTCTTTACTTAATTCTTCCTTACTGAAAAATGTATAACCTATCTGTTTATAGTTTCATTATATCATTGTATAAAGGTAATTACTATGTCAGAGATAAATAAAGTCAGCTGAACTCTATGCTTTAAAACATTTAGCAATGTTGTATATTGTTTCAAATGCTTCTAAACTTCTCAAACAAGAACAATGGTTAAGTAATAGCCAATCTTTTGTTTAAGGAGAAATATAGTACAGCACTTACACTAATTACCCAGAGGCCAATGGAATTTAAATAATGTATTCATAAAAATAATAATACATAAATGTGTATTTTACATATGTTATTTTAATCTGTACACCTTTGTAATCTCTTATGAATACCAATTTTAATATCAATCAAAGTGTGATGTAAAAGATACATTAAAATGATTTAAAAGGGAAAATAGGTGAGAACGCTTTTCTGTGTTTAAGACTGACTTAAGTAAAAGCAGAATCAAGTCCACCTGTGCTCCCCAGTGGCTTAGCTTTTCAGCCTGAACCTCTTTCTTGACAGCCTAATCACTCAGGAGATGTCTCATGTACCTGAGCCTCTGCAGCCTGTGGTGTAACAGCAAGGGCCAAAGCACCACCTAGGCGTCAGTCTCTGAACCTTAATGTGAGTCCATATTTACCTCTCCTTTTCCTTTTCTTTGCAGTGTGATCTCTCTTTACACAAGAGTAACCATCTTGTATTTTTCTGATCCTAGAAGATACAGTTTTTACAAGAACTTATTTCTCTATTTTATTCTCATCTTTAACTGTATTCTACAAAGTTTTCTGAAGAGAAGTTCCTGTGTCTATATGTCTTAGGAAATTCCCTCTGTTTCAAAGCAGTTCATTTCCTTCTTGATTTGTTTACTACTAGGCTGTTACAAGTTTTTGAGGTACATTTGGCTGTGTTTCAAAGATTTAGGCAAAGCTATTGCTTCTCACTTTTGATCTGTGGATTTCACACCACAAAAGAGTTTACTCAGTTTGGAAATTTGTTTGTACCATAAACTCTTTATTTATTCCATTTTTAACCTTGAATTTTCAAATACTTCTTTATATTTTCAAGTATTTCAAGACATTGAAAAGACATATGAGTTAACAAGCTCAATGAACTTTGTTGAAATCCTGTTTTCTCTGTACTCTATTTCCTGCTTTGTTCTTTCTCAACTCAAAGTTGGTGCTGTCCCATGTCTGTTCTATGAGGGCACACACTGATTCCTGGAGTTCAGCAGGTTTTTGGTGTTTTCACTGATGTGTTCTTCACAGTGCCCTGTTTTGTTTGTTTCCTCTGTTCCCAGGTGATGTTCATGTGCCTTTAGTTTTATGATTCCTCAGGCATGTAATTCAAGTTTCTTGGTTGCTATGGTAATAGGTCACTTCATCAGAGTATGCATGACCAAACTTGCCCCAGGTTTTCTGGTCTATATTTTCTGTCAATTCTGTAGTCTCTGTCCTTTTCTTCATTCACCTAATGCTCCAGTCAGGTTTCCAGATATAAGTCATGAAAGTTGAGGTAAGTTGATGTCCAAGCAGTGACTGCTTGACCATGGGGAACTTGCATCAGTCAGTCAGGGGAAGGGACACTCCTGAGAGCAGTAGACAAGCAAAGGCAAATTCAAGCATAAAAATAAAATAAATGCAAGGAGGTAGGGCACAAATGTGTATTTGTTAGGTGAAAAGCTTAGGGTGAGTAGAATCTAAAAATTAAAATTAAAATTAAAAATTGGTGCTTTGAGGATATTTGGGGCTGCCTCAGAAGTAAGGTAAAGGCATGACATTTTCATTGGTTTCTAGATTCAGTCAGGAGCCATGCCCTTGGTTACCAGGAAGTACAGTAGGATTGGCTTCTTTGGAAGGAATAAGAGGATTGAGGAAAAGGCAAGTGAGCAAAGCACCTGGACATAGTCTCATTTCACAATTGATTTGTGGATTCTTGTATGTGTAGAATTTGATTTCAGGGAGGCTGGCCTTGAACATTTTGCCTCTGGGCTATTAATGTCTTCAACCACTTATACTACTATTTGAAAGCTTGTGAACAAGTCAACAAAGCTGCCTTAAGGGCATAGAAAAATTTACCAACAATGGAAATGTGTAAAATAAAATTAAGAACTATTTCAACAATGATAATGAGAATAATAATAGTAATAATAAAACAACTTAATGCTAAGCTGTGGCATGTTACTGAATAAGTTAACTTCTTGTTATTGTTTGACTTCTAAAAGCAGATCTGAGAGAGGCATGCTACAAGGAGATGCCCTTACTGGTTTCCAATTTTAAACCAGTATAATTCAAATGACCCAGGCCAGAGGCCCCAGTTTCAATATTTTTTCTTAGTGGAGTGTTGAACACTGCAGCAAACCAGTGCTTTGTTAAAATTCATCATAAACATCTAAGAAATAAAAAAGAGGGACTATGAGTTGTTGAGGAAACCTTAAATGGATGTGGAAAGAGCAGATTAAGTCCTTAGTAAATGTATATTTCTGACATGGACATAGCCATATCAAGGACTAATGCATGGTTCTCAACATGTGGGGCACAACCCCTGTGATCAAACTATATCACCCAAAATATTTATATTGTGATTCAAAACAGTAGAAACAAAAAGAATTTTATGATTGGACATCCCCACAATGTGAGTAAATGTATAAAAGGGTTTTAGTATAAGAAAGGTTGAGAACTACTGGACTAATGCCCCCCTTTCCATGGGAAACTTACAAAGCCTCTCTCATATGACTCAGGCTTTGAACAGCCACGTATTCTTCTAGTCCACATATGAAGATTTATTAATAACTGAGCAGTGTGTGCAAATTTGAGTAGCTGTCGACCTCCTGCGAGGCAGTCACATCTTGCTTGCTCTGTGGCTGGCTTCCTCTCTGTCTGGGTGATGACTGCAGACTGAGTCTTTCCTATTCCCAGAATTCTCCTGTTCTCATTGCCCTGCCTCTACTTCATGTCTGATTGCCCCACCTATACTTCCTACCTGGCTACTGGCCAATCAGCATTTTATTTAACAAGTATATGCAACAAATCTTTACAGGGTAAAATCATTGTCCCACAGCTTGGTTCTTTTTTTTTTTTCAGTTCATAGACACAAGTTTGTGATGTCCAATTTTCTAATAACTGATTTGTTTTTAGAGATATGCTGAACTCCTTTATATACAAAAATAATGTTATTAATCGAGAGTGCCTCATTCCAAGCATGAGATTACATGATATTTTTCCTGGGAAAATGTGAATAATTTTCTACTCATGGAAGATAGAAAGTCTATGGGGAATCAAATTACTCCAACCACGTCTATGTTAGTAAATCAATGCATTCAGTCAAATTATTTACAAGAACATGTGTGCCTCAAAGGGAATTGCATCACTCAAAGCCATAGCACAAAACAAGTGAGAACTTATTGAAACTGAATCACTAGAACACTGTCCAGAGAATAGGCAGATTCAGCAAAGAGTTTAATTCCCATAGCATTTTTTTTCTACTTTTACAACCTTGGGTAAGGTTTTTTTTTTTTTTTTTAATTTCTAGGCCTCTAAGTTTCATGTGTTTTCCTAGTCCTATGGACTCCCCTTCTCTCCAGCTGGGAATATTTCAGTCTGAAGGAAATACAGACAGAATACATAGATGCTTGCTTCCTCAAAACTACTGAGAAAGATGGACTGTCATAATGATGAGCATAATAATTGTGTGTAACATACTAATGCATACATACTTATGTACTCCCTGGAATCTTCCACATTCTACTAAATAGAAGTAAGTTAATGTATATCTCAATTTCACTCAAAGGAAAAAATTTAAACAAGATTGTAAACACAAGAAGATAAGGGTCAGAAAAGTTATCCTATAGTCTGTCCATTATAGCTGCCAAAATTTTGAATTTGATTCTTGTCTTGACATTATGGAGAATACGCTGAATTGTATGTTTAGACATCTTCTCTTCTCAGAACAGAGTTCAAAGGCATGAACACACCACAATGAAACATTTGCTGTTTCAGAATATTATAAAGCTGAGATGTAAATGAATGTCTCTAAAGTGAAATCTAAGGCATAAGAATCCAGAAAACACAATGATTTTTATGATGATAGATAGATTACTTTTGGTGGATATAAGAATTTTTCATTAGGTCTATGAAATGGATGGATTTGAGGCAATGAAATAGGCAATCATGAAAGTTGAAACTTTCTCTCCTCAGTATTCCAATAGATCTTTGAGAAGTTTGGTTAAATTCTATAAATGGGAGTTTTAAACACTGGCAGATCTCTGACTTTTTGAGTTAGTTAATATGTGCGTTGAGAGTAAAGGCACACTTATGAAGATAAAATAAGGTGGTGTCATCTAAAGAAAAATTAAATGCTTTTCAGAAAATTTTCTCCTAGGCCACTATTCTATGAGACAGTTACACTACATCACAGTGACAATACATAACACCTAATGATATTTTTAATACATTTCTTGAATCTGTATTCTAGGTGCTTGTCAGCTTCAGACACAGCAGTCAACATCCTTCACAAGTGAGCACAGATGAAAGCGTTCACTCTAGTACAGATTCAAGACGCATTCTGTGAAGCATTTATCTAATTATTCTTTATCAATAAAAGCTCTGGAATCAGATATCAAGGTAAGAACCTGATTGATCAGAGGAGTGGAGGAGACCTCCATTCCAGTGACCTCCTCTCTCCTTTCTCTATTAAGGCACAAAGACTCTTTCTGATCCCCTCCCTTCTGTTTCCTGTGTCTTTCTCTACATCCTCAGTCCTCCAAAACTTCTAGAGCTAATTTCAATCAGCTAGAAGCTAGTTACACATTTTGATTCAAATAAACTTTATTGTCAGACTTGGGAGTGTCAGAATGAGATCAAAATATTCCACTATAGTTTTGACAATATGTAACTCTTAGAGTCTTTACTGTCTTGATCAAAGAAAGAAATTAAAATTATTATCATACACATTGATTAATGCACCTCTCAACTGTCACAGAAGCTGCTTTATTTATATTAGATGAAGAATAATATGGAGACCCATAACTGATAAAGGTACCAGAGTATAAGACTGAGCAATGCTCAACACTAAATGGGGGAAAGATATATCACAGCATTTTCACCCAAGTTTCAAGGATCACTGAAGGAGAGTGGGCAAAAATAGAGTGTAAGGGCACAGGTGATATTGATTACAAGGAAACTGTTCTGGATGCATCAGATCAAATGCACACACTATCTCTGGCAGCATGTATACAACCTGAGCCACCTGAAGCCAGACAAATCCCACTCTTGAGAGAAGAATAGAGTTGAACTCCCAAACTCAGCTGAGGAACAGATAGTAATGACTAATTGCTAAGAGGTAGACTGGGTTTCCTTTATGAGTGCAGTCCCTGGCAGGAGGACCATTCTCCAGTGGAAGGCCACATAGCCGAGAATACACAGGTGACACAAACAGGACTTAATAAGTGGACACAAAGTTGTATTGGAAAGAAAGAGGTTGTATAGGGGAGAACTTAAACAAGGGTAGGTATGATTAAAACACATTGTTTTGATCAAGTAACAAGAGAAAAAATGCAAAAAAAAAGAAGAAAAGGGGGAAAATAAACTTTCTTAAATGAAAAATCAGTTATCTAATGCCTTCAGAGAAAACTATAAGGAAACAAAGCTGGGCGTGGGTGGCACAGGCATGCCTTTAATCCCAGCACTCAGGAGACATAGAAAGGCGGGTCTCTGTGAGTTTGAGACCAACCTGGTCTACAGAGTGAGTTCCAGGACAGGCTCCCAAGCTGCACAGAGAAACCTTGTCTCGAAGTCCCCTCTCCCCAAAAAACGAAAGTGAGCAAGACACAGGTAAACAAAAAGGCGCTTGGTGTTTTTCCCAGTTGTTGACGGTCTCTTACTTTTTCATTTTATTTAAATTATTCCAGAGATAAAAATATTTTAAGATTAAGAAAAATGTTTCTATGCCTTTCACATAGGTTTTACAACTCTTGATGTCTCACCTTTTATTTCATGAATTTTTAAATATTCCGAATAAATACACCAGTATATGTACAATAGTTTTGAATGATTAAAGAATATGTTATAGAAATTAGGTTTTAGTACCCTGAGAACTTTCATGTTCACCGCTCATACTGAATGACATTTTCATACATATCCACAGCACCAAGTCCAAAGTAATAATTTGATATTAGTGCAATAATCTGCATCACAAATTTTGTTTAAATATTGAGCAATTTATTCAGCAGCTTTGATTATAGAAATGATTCATTCTAAGGTTAACTGAAATAAGATAGTTACAATTTTGTAGTATATGTAAAATGCTTTCACAGTAGTTTTTCTTTTGAGACTTTTTTTGGAGGGAGAAATTGTACAAATATTTTGCCAATTGTTCCCTGATATTCAATTTTAGAATTATGGACTGGATTCATGTCATGTGTTTCATTCAAAATAGTCAGAAAAGTCAGACTGCTTTTTGAGTTGAAGATTGAACATTGCCCACATTGTCACAGTAAATGGACGTACCCTGTTATCAGTGATGTCATCATTGTTGTTAATTAGGAAAGTGGGCATCCTTCAGACCTCTCTTCTGTGCATTTTTTGCCTATCTCCTTTGAAATTAATGATGACTTTTTGGGAAGATACTTGAGGTTTTTGAAATATTTCTGCTTAAATCAAGCATTGTTATGAAAGCTTTCAAATGTTTCTTTTTCAATAACATCATTTCAATTGGACCTACTTGTTATCCTAAACAGCAGGAATACCTTTTCCACTTAATTGTGCCTTAACCTATATCACAATTTACTGTTGTAACTTATACTAGATAGGCAGGTATACTTATGTGTTAAGAATCACATACACATACATATATTAGAGCAATCAATGAAAAAAGAGATCATGGATTGTAAAGGGAGCAAGCAGAGGCATATGGGAATGTTTGAAGGAAGGAAAACAAAAGAAAAAATGATGCAATTATAGTCTTAAAAAGTAAAAGAAGAATGTAATGGGATTTTAAAAAATTATTTATTTTACATATCAACCACAGTTTTCCCCATCCCTACATCCACTCCTCATCAGTATTCATTCAGAAGGGGTAAGACCTCCCATGAGAGTCAACGAAGCATGGCTTGTTGAGACCGGACCAATCTCCTTTCCTTTCATCAAGGCTGAGGAAGGTAACCTACCATAGTGAATAGACTCCAAAGAGCTAACTCATTCATAGGGTACATGCCAGGGTACCACTGCTAGGGGTGCCACAAAAGACCAACCTCTGTGACTGTAAGCCACATGCACAGGGCCTAGGTCGGTACCATGTTGACACCTTGACTGGCTGTCCAGAGTCTGTGAACTTCCACAAGCACAGGTCAGCTGTCTCTGTTGACTGGAGGAAGTGCTGAGCCATTAAAGTCAAGGTTCACAACCAAAAATATAAAGAATTTTTATTTTTTATATAATTGAATATGTTAGCAACATTGTTTAGGGTTGTGCTCCAAACCACCTAAGCAGTAAACTCTCAAGCTGAATTCTGAGTCCTTTGATATTTTTCTCTTATACTGTAGACACATTTTTTCCTAGTTGTCACAAGATGTTCCAGTTTGATTTTGGACATCTGTTGTCAAAGTCATAGAGTCATTTTTCTCTGGATCTACAGTTATTTTAATAGATGTGATAATTATAAATGAGCATCTGATTGTTATGTGCACTAATGATCAGGGTCTTTTTTTTGTTGGACAGAGCTTGAAATAATGTATGTATGCTTTATGAGATTTTTGCATCCTATTTATATCTCAGTTTATTTAATATTGTTTGCATCAATATTTGACTTTGAATTCAATGTGCTTTTTTTCCTTCTGGCTCTCTACTTTTGTTTAGAACTTTCTTTCCTGACCTTGATGAGCTTGGATCTTTTTATTTCATTCAATCTATTTTTGCTCCTTCTCTTCACATAGAGCAAGTCAACCAGTCAACTTCTTGTTATGGAAGTCAGCTTAGATTGACTTTTTTATTTTATACTGAAGCTTCAATATCAGTTGTTCAGATACTTACAGTGGTAAGCCTTGCGTTCTGTTGGACCTTCTTTAAAGATATCTAAAATAAATGTTACCCTCACAATCGTTGGGGTTTGAAGACATTTGTTTAGAAGTTATGTTGGGAACTCTTGGGGACTTGTCATTTCTGTATTAGTCATGCATTATCTTAGCATTAAACAGCCCATTATCCTGCTCACAAATGTGCCCTGATTTCAATCTGTATCTTCCTAGGTGGGAAAGCAATAGGAGAAACAATTGCTTTGAAATGTTGGGTTTAGTAGCTCAGAATGTACTGCAAAAGATAAGTTCTCATCTAACATGGGTAAAGCCCTAATAAAGGTTCCTAGAACTGGACATATATGACCCAGTCAACTACATGAAGGGAAATGTAAACATATATGCTAAATTCAACAATTTAATCATAAAACAACAAATTTATGAGACTATACTTATCTCAGTTTTATTGGGTGGTTTTAGCTATAGAGACCAAATGTGGAATGGTGGTTGTGAGAAACAGCGATAGAATGGTATGAAAATTAGCATTTAAATAGTAGAGAGCTTCAGTTTTACAGGATAAACAAATAAATGATTGACTGTTATGGCTGCATAGCAGTGTGAATGCTTTTAGTGATACTCAATTGTTCCTAGAAGTGGTTAATGTACTGACATTTATGTCATGTGCAATCTGACATAACTTAAAATGAATACATTGATTTGAATAGATCCAAATACTGCCATTGAACTATCCCACAAAGGGTGCTACTTCTCTCTATTAACACGCTAGTTCATAGACTCCGAGCATGTTGATCGTCTTAAGGACAGCTGGAGCTGGCCTAAAAGTTTTAGAATCTTATTTGACTAGATTTTGAATTTAAAATATGTTTAGGATAAATTAGGTGAGAAAACAGCAGAGAGAAGGCATAAAAATAGAATTTCATAGTCTCAAAAGCAGGCTTTTACTCTATCTCTTGAAAACGCCTGAGCTCAGATCTGTCCATTAGCTTTGTGCTGTCAGTTCACTGAGAATTACAATACAAATAGATATAACTTTGCAATATAAATAGATACAACTTGGGATGATATCTCCACTTTTTATAATACTCCAAATAACACCCCAATATATTACTGTTATTTTTTATATAGTGAAATGTAAGCCTTGCAACTTGATTTTTATTTTGTATATGTTTGATAAACCCATTTGTTTCTATGGGAACCTCTTTAGGTAGAGTATGTGTGACTTCTCACTTGGTGCATTTTGCAGGTTGATTTGTATCTTATGTAGATAGGAGAAAAATGAGTCAAAGGTGAGCACAGCTTCAATGAGCAGTTTCATCAGTAATGGACTGAGAAGATCTTTTTTATATAAAATATTATGTATCTAGTAAGACTTATTTCTGCTTTCATTCCAATGAAGAAACATGCTTTTGACATATTTTAAGAAACCATGTTAGTGGTTAAAGTAAAAGCATTTGTTTTGACATTATGATGCATTTGCTTGTATCTTAAACTGTTAGAACCATCAGGAGCTTTAATAAGCTAACGTGCACTAAGGATCTTCACCTATGTTTGATCAATTTGTAGTTTCTTTGATTATTTAGCAAAAGTCTTCTGTTGATCCCTTTTAGAGAGATATCTCTAAAAAGTGTTCCATGTGATTCCTCACATGATTCTATTATCAAACAGATCTGTTAGAGAGAGCACTTTTGCTAAATTTTGGGAAAAGTGTACACAATTATTAAATAATAAGTTTTTCTACATGTACCATGACCAGTATCCACCTTGCCTGATGGATGACAGTATTGATGTATTCATGTAGATTGGTCTTCCTTTTTCTAGAAAACTTTACTAGCTTGTATTTTTTTTCTTCCTAATGAATAACTGATCCCTTTGAGTCAGAAAAGATGAAAGAGGACTTATTCTACGGTTTGCCAACATCTGAATCCTCCCATCTTCCTTTGTGCAGCTAGATGCAGACCTGGGAGGCAGTTTTTGCTAATATAGTAAGAGGAAAATCAGCTAAAAGTGCAAATTTGAACATTTTGTTCTTTTCCATAGGAGATCCATAAGAAAAGAAGTCTATTGTAAGGTAGTGTACCAAAATGGTAGGAAGGCTTGGAGGGAGGAAAGAGAAACAGGAAAGTGATGCAATTACATTATAATTAAGTTTTTAATGGAAAAGAATATTACCTTGGATTTAAGGTGAAGATTGTAACTTGGTACTTAAATATTAATGATAATAATAGCATAAAATAATTATGATATTATTGTGATAGTTTTAATTATCTTAATTAATAGTTTTAATTATATTCTTATTTAAGACAAATATTTCTTTCTAACTTAACTAGGATTGGAGCTGATAAGAGAAGAATCCATGCTAATAAATAATTCAACTATGAGGGGGTGTCATCTGCTGTTTAAAGCTGGCAATATCATGCAGATATTATTTTGAATAAAATACACAAGTCCTCTTGGTTGAAAACCTAATTTGGCAAATGTTCTATTACTAAGCATAAAATTATCCTAATGTGCATATATTTGAGTCTTCTTGATCCCAGTCTATGTAAATGAAGTCTTACTTTTCTCTATTTTTCTCCTTACATTAAACATGTCTTAATGAAACTGAGCATTTCACTTTGAATATTGTGAACAGTGTCTGAGCATGTGAATACATTTTTTGTTGATGATTATAAAGCCATTCTGTTTGTTTTTTAATTACTGTATTTCTTTTTATTGTTAATCAAGCACAAAGCAAAACAAAGATGCCTAAGAAAACGTCTGCTCAGCTTTCAATGCATCTAAGAAAAGATCTGAGTGGAAAATGCCGCAAATGAGAAGAGTACACATTGCCGTGAGGATTTGCTTTTCTGAAGTAATCAGTGCCTCCTTAAGCTTCAGGCTTCCTGGGAGCCTTTGAAGTGGAATTCAAGACACAAAGTAAAGCTGTACTGTGGCTTTAAAGAAAACAAAATCCTAGCGCTCTTTGTTCCCTGTTTCCAGACACCTGTCAGTTCATTCACAAGCAGTGCTGGAGGCACAGTCCAAGTGTGTATGTCCAGGCACTCAGACTTTTACAGGGAATCAAGTTACTTCTAATGCTGCACAATCATAGTTTCAGGGGATGAATAAACAATGTTTGTTGTGGGCCGAGGGTCTGCAATTTAAAATGCTTCTTATGTATGGATTTCTCATAGAAGTCAGTGCCACTGCCGCAAACATGCAATATAATCATCTTGTACTCAGAGACCAAATCTCGGTGATTCATACTGTAGCTCCTCTCATGCCGTTTGTTCCCTGGGACTCAAAAATACTACGGCTGCTGTTTTGGAATTAAGGAAGACAGTAGAAAAAATAATGGCAGAAGAATCAATCAATCTATTTACTAACCTAACCTAAGCTCCTTTGTATGCCAATCTAACACTTCTACCTCTACCAGCCTACCACACCTACCTATACCTGCCTACTGCACCTACCTCTACCAGCCTACCATACTTACCTATACCAGTCAACCATACCTACCTATTCCAGCCTGCTACAGCTGTCAGTACTAGCCTTCTATCCCTTCTTATATCAGTCTTCCACTCCTATGTATATCTGTCTTCCAAACATACCTACATCTGCCTACATGAATTTTCTAAACCTACCTATAAGAAGTACAATAATTACATGTTTGATTATCTTTTTTGGTTCCCTCTGATTGTCAGATTATTTTTAGAAACTGTTTAAAATCCACAATTCCATACTTCCACGAGTCTTTTTCTCATGATGAGAGGTAGGCTTAGATTATGATGGTAGCAAAAGGTACAATTGGGGCGGGACAATTCTGTATTCTGTTAATTATGTTTTTAATAAATGCTGATTGGCCAGTAGCCAGACCGGAAGTATAGGTGAAACAACCAGACAGGAAGTAGAGGCTGGGTAATGAGAACAGGAGTATTCTGGGAAGAAGGAAACGTTCTGGAGTCCTGTCCGGACACCGAAGAAGCAGGATGTGACCTACTCCACTGAAAAAGTTACTGAGCCATGTGGCTAACATAGATAAGAATAATGGGTTAATATAAGAGCTAATATGAAGTCTGAGCTAATGGGCCAATCAGTTTATATCTAATGAAGATTCTCTGTGTGATTTTCTTTGGGGCTAACTGGGTGTGGGAACTGGGCAGGACAGAAACCCCCAACAAGCAGGCCCTCATGTTACATACAATGTCTGACATCAAAGGCTTGGATCTAATCTCATCCTATGGAAATTCAGTGGGAAAATATATTAATAATAAAAATATGTGTTAATATGTGCTACTGTAACAAAATACTTGATATTGTATAATTTCTAATGAGCAGAAATTTGTTGGTTCACAGTTATAGAAGTTGAGAATTCCAAAATCAGGTCACAGACGTCTGGTGAATTCCTTGTTTCTGTCTTCACACAGTAGGTGGAGGAGTAACAATGAGCCATAATGGTTGATCTTACACATTTAAAATGGTTTTCACTCCTTGCTGAGAGGAGACATCTCAGCTCTTATGTGTTCCTTTCTACAATGTTGAACTAAAGATTAAGTTTCTACATGACTCTTAGGGGAGAAAAAAATGTTCGAATGAGAGCAGGATATCACAAACACCAAACATTATAGAAAATAATAACTAAATTAATATGAATTTAAAACACTCTCTAGCTTTTTACTTTTATATGGATTTATGATTTTGTAATCAATAGTTAACATATTTCCAGGTCTTTAGTATAGGCATTCTATTTCTGGATGGATCTGAGTTTAAATCCTCTATTGTTTTTGGAGAATTCATTACAAGAAGCCCACTTCTACCATATGAGTTGTAGATTGTAGGCCCCCTCTTTTTGCCTTTATTTAGACCAACTGTCCATGTAATCAAAATCTACACATTAAGTCTGAATCAGAGGGAATCAAGGTACTATGTACTACCAATTTTGAGATGTTGACATTAAAATTAAATATTTTAAAGATATTGTAGTGATGCGTACGTTATATGAATTTTGAAAGTGGTACAGGAATACAGAGGAAGCATGTCAATACTCAGTTATAGGCATTAACCAAAGGGTCTGCTTATGAAAATAAAAACAAAAATTGCCAATATGAGTGGTATTAAATTTAAAGGCTTCAGCATTGAAAAGAAATAACAGAGTGAAGAAATAAACAACAGAAAGCAATGAAATCTATATTCTCCGTCCCCTCATTCTGTAATATTTCCAGAGACTTAGAAGGGGTGGTATAAATATTGTTTTTAGTGCTGAATACCCAAACATACTTTTTCCTCAGTTTCTTAAACGGATATATAACTCACCATTATTTATTGTACAGAAAAACTTCTATGTTTAATAAGGCAGTGACTACCATTTGGCTGTCGCTATAACATGTGCTGTTCTTGTTGCTATTTTTGAATCAAAGTCTCAGGCAGCTCCCAGCTCTCATGCAGCTGGGAGCTGCCTGACCTCCTGATCTTTCTGCCTCTGCCTACCAAGCACTGTGTTTGTTTAATTTTTATTTGATATAGAAAAGTAGGAAACAGACACCAAATAGCTGAAATAGTCAAAAGAACCCCCTTAAAGAGAAAAGACTGGCAAAAGGAGACCATGATAGCCCCAGTCAGAAGGAAGAGCATCAGACACCAGTCATCTAGTAGCCAAAATGAGTAACCAACATAGATAGCTAGTAACACAAAATAATGGTCAGTTCTAGTTTTTAATTTTCACTTTATATAATATAGTGTTTCATTGTATTATGACACCTTTAGTTTTTCAATTGCTGTAAAAGAATAACAATAAACATGCCACTTCTATAGCTAAGATAATGAAAGTTCCATGTTATTTAATTGATGATGAAATTTAAATGAGCAGAAAGCAGAAAAGCCAGATTCCAACTCCAGTCATCTGACTCTAGCATTCAGAATGCATTGCTGGCTAACTACTAAGTAGATGGTATTATTTACTGAAAAATGAATTACTTGATATCTGGAAGTAAGCATAAATAGAGTGCACAGAAATTTTATTAATAATTTTCATTATATTTCACAAAATAATATTTTGAGAAATGATGCTAAATATATTGTGACATTCACAAGTTTGGTTAGTTGTTTATGGAGAGGATATGTGGATGGGATGCATTGTATAGTGATTTTAAGCTGTAACAATGACTCTTAAGACAGTGATCCTAGAGATGGTGTCTCTAACTTTATCAACTGAGGATCGAAGAAACAGGTACCCATACACATGAATGTATATGTCCAATATTTGCTCACTCAGTGACAGGAACAGCATGAGACTGGAGTGCTCCAGGCATAGTGTTGATGCTGCACCAGCTGTATCAAACTGTCTTTCCTTTTGAGTGACTTCAGTATGTCTCATTAAAAATCCAAAATTCTATTTAAAATTCAAAAGTAGAATTATTGACCTCACAATTTTTGGATATTGTAGTCCCAAGAGACTTTGATTCCACACATTCCTCTTTTTCAAGAATAAAATAGCTGTTTTTTATGGGAATCAGTGTGGAAACCCCACCCCTCCACTTCAAGTATCTGTATTGATAAACAAGAATTTTTCGTATATGCGAAAGCAGGTGTAGTGTGAGAATTTTACAGTGCCTTAATACTTCATAGCATTGACTTTGCACTCAGAATGCAAGAACCTTGTAGGGAAATGAAATAGATTATGTTCTTGAATGTTCTGGTATATTTAAATATTTTCATGAAAGTTCAAAGTACAGTCAAGTCAGCCAGATATTTTCATATTTCAAGACAAATGAAATGTAAATCAGTTCAAAATACATAGGGCCCTTACATAATGGTGGTGTGTTTACTATTTCTCTATTTTCACAGTTCAACAATGCATTTCCATGTTTAGTGCTGCTGCTGAGATAACCAGCATTCCACAATAAGAGCAATGTGAATTTCCACCAGGGGCTAAAGTGTTGTGAGGGTTAAGGAACAGTAGGCTAAACTATAGCATTTGGTAACTTAGATGGATTAAGTGCTTTCTCAACTATTTTTTCAACAAGTGATATGTTTATTGTATATCACACATCAAAGAGCATCTGTAGTCACAAAATGTTATCTTTTGTGCATTATGGATGCCTTTGAACTATGTTATCGTGACATTCAAGTAAAGCAAACTGAAAATTCCCCACCTAGCCAATACATCCAGAAACCTTTTATGTGACCATTACTTTTAGTTATCTTTTAAGCAACATGTTTTCTCTCAGAACTTATCTCTCTATACTGCCACTTTTCAAAAAGCAACTTACTGATAGAAATTTTGTTGCTTGAAACACAATGCAAGATCACCAGACCTTGATGATGAAGAAAAGTAAATGCTAAGTTTTAACTTGGCTCAACTTTAAAAGAACTAATCAGAAAGTGACCATTAGAGAATCATTATCAAGATTATATTTTCTAAGAAGCAATAAAATATGAAAAGGAAATAATAGAAAGGAAGGAAGAAAGAGAGGTGGGGGAAGCAGGAGTCAGGAAAGGAGGCAGAGAGAGAGGGAGGGAGAGAGAAAGAATAAGAGATAGAGAGAGAGAATGAGAGAGAGAGAGAGAGAGAGAGAGAGAGAGAGAGAGAGAGGAAGAAGAAGAAGAAGAAGAAGAAGAAGAAGAAGAAGAAGAAGAAGAAGAAGAAGAAGAAGAAGAAGAAGAAGTCACCTTGAAGAGACTTCTACTCAGACTTTATGATTCTGTGTGCAGCCTTTTCCATCCAAAACTGTTGACTTCTCAGCTTCTCAGGTTTGGCAGAGACTCAAAGGACATTTATTTCAACTTCCCAGTTGAATTAGCTCCAAACTTTATATGTTCAAAATATTATCCAATCTTAAATTGAAATTTTATGTTATTTAAAATGTCATATGCTTTGGCAGATAATTTTTTTCTCTAAAAATATAGATAATGTAATGTTAGTTTAGAGAGAAGTAGGGAGATTTCTAAGGAGATAAAGTGTTTGCTACATGCACACACACACACACACAGACACACACACACACACACATGAAACTGAGCTTGGAGACAGTTAAGTGAATCCGCATACTTGATAGCCATCCTGTCCACCCAAATGATAATTTCCATGTTCACTTAGAGTTGTAAAGAGTAAAGTGAAGAGAGATATAGAAAATACCTGTTATCCACTTCTGGTTTTATATACATAGGAGTATGTTCACATACTAAAGTATATATATGTGCAGGCACACATACAACAAACCAACAGGCCACAGAAAATATTTTTGTGAAGAGAAAAGCAGCAGAATTTTCAGTTTACAATGGTGATAAAAGTGTATAAAACAATAATAACAATAAACAAACTTTTTTCTCATACAAAGACTTTTTGTTTAAAACTATAAGGATATTAAATTATATTAATCCACTTACTGTGAAAATTGTCTTGAACATTTGTTGGACACTGGTAAAGAAATATTTCTTTTCAGAAACAGTTTCTGGGGGCTGGAAAGATCGCTCAGAGGTTAAGAGCCTTGCCTGCTCTTCCAAAGGTCCTGAGTTCAATTCCCGGCAATCACATGGTGTCTCACAACCATCTGTAATGAGGTCTGGTGCCCTCTTCTGGTCTTCAGGCACACACACAGACAGAATATTGTATACATAATAAATAAATAAATATTAAAAGAAAGAAACAGTTTCTGCTTTAATTTTCCCAGGTGATATGGAAGAATAGACTACCTATTTAAGATTCAGAATAAAACTGAATGATGAACTTTGAACTATATAAACTCATTGCAAAATCACATTCTATTACACTGATAAAATTCAATTCATTTTATTAGTCTATATGAATTGTACAAAGTAGTTTCATTACAATGCTTCCATACTTGCTTGTAATATACCTTGATCATTTTATCATATTCCTCTTCTATCTCATTTCTCCCTAGTTTTCTG